TAGGGGCGGGACCCGGCATCGTGAGGGGCGGGGTCAAGGACGATGCTCTGTAATGTGAGGGGCGGGGCTCTACAGAGTGGGGCGGGGCTTTCAAGAAGTGAGGGACGGAACTCTGTAAGGAGATGGGAGGGGCCTAGGTGAGAGGCGGAGCTTAAAAGGGAGGGGCTGTGAAAGAGGGAGGAGCTAAGAAGAGGGCGGGGCTATGAGAGGCCCGCGCTGAGAAAATCCATGGGAGGAGGCGGAGCTTGAGCCACGCCCCCTGGGGGAGGAGCCAGCCCGAGGGGCGGGACCGGGACAGCTGCGGGGTGGGGCCTTCAGGAGAGGGCGGGGCCGATCGATGCAAAGTTCGAGCGGGTGGGGCGGGGTCTGCGCTATGCAAATGAGGTGGGCGTGGCCCGATTGCGTTGCTGCCGGCAGGCGTGGGCGGAGTACAAGGGGCGGTTCCGGCCCGGGGACCCCCCGGACCCCGCGGGGTGGAAGACGCGGCTGCGCTGCGCCCTGGCCCGGAGCCCCGAGTTCCGCGAGCTGCGTGGGCGGGGCCCCTCGGACGGGCCACGCCCCTACCGCGTGTACCGGGTGCTGCCCGCCCGCGGTGAGCACCGGGAACGGGAACGGACAATGGGGGACGGAGATTGGGGGGACACCGGAAGTGGGTGAGGGGACTGAATATGGAGGAAGACACCGGAAATGGGGACAGAATATGAGGGGACACACCGGAAATGGGGACAGAATATGAGGGGACACACCGGAAATGGGGACACCCCCTGGGGGAGGAGCCAGCCCGAGGGGCGGGACCGGGACAGCTGCGGGGGGGGGCCTTCAGGAGAGGGCGGGGCCGATCGATGCAAAGTGCGAGCGGGTGGGGCGGGGGCTGCAGGCGTGGGCGGAGTACAAGGGGCGGTTCCGGCCCGGGGACCCCCCGGACCCCGCGGGGTGGAAGACGCGGCTGCGCTGCGCCCTGGCCCGGAGCCCCGAGTTCCGCGAGCTGCGTGGGCGGGGCCGCTCGGACGGGCCACGCCCCTACCGCGTGTACCGGGTGCTGCCCGCCCGCGGTGAGCACCGGGAACGGAAACGGACAATGGGGGACGGAGATTGGGGGGACACCGGAAGTGGGTGAGGGGACTGAATATGGAGGAAGACACCGGAAATGGGGACAGAATATGAGGGGACACACCGGAAATGGGGACAGAATATGAGGGGACACACCGGAAATGGGGACTCATTTTGGGAGGCTACACCGGAAATGGGGACTGGATGTGGGGCAGCCCCCAAATGAGGAGGGGCCCGAGGGGGGAGGGCGTTGAGTCTGTGGGTGCCCCGAGATGGGGGAACCGAACCAGAGCAGCACCGGGGGAGGGGCCCAACGGGGCACCGGAAACGATGGGGGAGGGGTCAGCGCCGAGTTAACCATCTCAGTGCCGCCTCCCTACAGAGCCCAAGACCCCCAAGGGCCGGCAGAGCCAGAAGGAGGCGGGGCTGAGCCCCCCGGAGCCCCTCCCACCGACCCCGCCCCCCGAGAGCCGAGAGGAGGCCCCGGATGAGGAGGAGCCCGGTGAGAGGGGGTGGGGCAGTTCTGGGACAAGCCTGGGGGCGGAGCTATGGGGCGTGGCCGCCGCCTGACTCCGCCCCTTCAGCAGAGGCCCCGCCCCCGGCTCCGCTGCCCCTGCACATCGAGGTGGAGAGCGCAGAGCCCCTCCCCCCTGCAGAGGGTAAGCCACGCCCCAAGGGGAGGAGCCAACGACCAGTGACAGCCCGGCCACGCCCACAGCACTGACTCACCCAGTGTTGGCTCCTCCCCCAAGCCTAGGCCACGCCCCCACCTCCCACTGTCACCTGCAGAGCTTTGGCTCCACCCCTTTAGCCCCGCCCCGCTGCCCACTTTGGCCCCGCCCCTCGCCTGACCCCGCCCCTTTGCGCTCTCTGGCGCCTCCTGCAGGAGACGCGGCGCTGCTGCTGCGCCTGCGCAGAGGCCCCGCCCTGGCCTGGCAGGGGGCGCTGCCCCCCGGCGAGTACCTGCTCAGTCCTCCGGGCCGCCAGGGGGCGCCGCCGCCGCCGCTGCCGCGCCTGGTGCTTCCGGTGGGGGCGGGGCCGGGGGTGCTGCTCAGCAGCGCCCCCCGCGGGCTGTTCCTGCGCATGCGCCCCGGAGATGGCCCCGCCCCCGGCGCCGTGAGGGGCCCGCACGCGCCGCACGGGCCGCTCCAGCAGGGGGCGCTGCTGCAGCCGTTCGACGCCAAACGCTTCCGGAAGGGTGAGAGCAACTTCCGGTGTGGGGAGAGCAACTTCCGGGGGAGGGGAGAGCAGCTTCCGGGATAGGGGAGAGCGACTTTCGTCGGCAGTAACCTACTTCCGGTGGGCGGTAGAGCAACTTCCGGTTGGGTGATACTAACTTCCGGGAGCGATGCAAACTTCCGGGAGGGGGAAAGCAACTTCCGGGATAGAAGTGAGCAACTTCCGGGAAGGGAGAGCAACTTTCAGTGGGAGTAACCTACTTCCGGTAGGCGGGAGAGCAACTTCCGGGGGAAAGAGACCAACTTCCGGGCGGGGAGAGTGACTTCCGGTGGGTGGCAGAGCAATTTCCGGGGGAGGAAGGGCAACTTCCGGCTGGGAGGAGCAACTTCCGGGAGGGCGAGACCAAATACCGGGTGTGGGGGGGAGGGGCACGGACCAAACCACTGTGAGGGGGATCGGGGGTGTTTGGGTGGATTTTGGGGCTGGGGGCTCTCGGGGGGGGAGGGGTGTGTTTTTGGGGGTCTCTGGGGGGTCTCAGCCCCGTTCCCCTCCCCCAGCTGGAACAGGCCTTCGCCCCGCGGCTGCTGCAGACCCTGGGGACCCCCCCGGGACCCCCCGAGCCCCCCCGGGGCAATAAAAGCTGAATTTGGGCCGGGAGAGGTCACGGGGTCAGCTCTGCCCCTCCCCCACCCCGGGGGGAGGGGTCACCGACACTGGGGGAGGGGCTTGGGGTCTCCGTTAGCCCCGCCCCCTCCGTTAGCCCCGCCCCCGTACCGTCGGGCTCCTCCCCCTCCTCGTCCAGGTCGATCTCCTCGGGGTTCCCCTGCAGCGACAGCGGCGCCTCTCCCCGTGCCCCTCCTGGTGCCACACCTGTGCCCTCCTCGGTGCCCCTGTGGTGCTGTGCCAGTGCTGTACCTGCACCCTCACCTGTGCCCCTCCATGACCCTAGTGGTGCCATGCTTGCACCCTCACCTGTGCCCCCCCTGTGCCCTCACCTGTGCCCTCCCCGTGCCCCTCCTGGTGCCACACCTGTGCCCTCCACAGTGCCCCTGTGGTGCCATGCTTGCACCCTCACCTGTGCCCCCCCTGTGCCCCTCCATGACCCTAGTGGTGCCATACCTGTGCCCTCCCTGTCCCCTCACCTGTGCCCCCCTGTGTTACCTGTGGTGCCGTACCTGTGCCATACCTGTACCCTCCCTGTGCCCCCCCGGTGCCATACCTGTGCAATACCTGTGCAGTACCTGTGCGCCCCCACGCCCCCCCCGGTGCCATACCTGTGCCCCTCCTGTGCCATACCTGTGCACTCCCCATTCCCCTCACCTGTGTCCCCCCATATCCCCATGACCCCCTGTGCCCCTTCTGGTGCCATTCCTGTGCAGTACCTCTGCCCCCCGGTGCCGTACCTGTGCCCTCCACATTCCCCTCACCTGTGCTGTACCTGTGCTCCCCCTGTGCCCCCCTGTGCCATACCTGTACCCCTCTGCCGTACCTGTGCCCCCCGGTGCCATACCTGTTCCCCCCCGTGCCCGGTGCCGTACCTGTGCCGGTGGCGCTGCCCGACACCTTGAGCATCTGCGAGGCCATGAAGTTCACCTGGGTGTTGTAGGTGGCCTGCACGCTGCGCTTGATGCGCAGCATCTCCCGGATGGTGTCCTCGTTCCCGTGGCGGATCTCAAACTCCTTCCAGGTCTGCCAGAAGCTGCCCGTGATCTGGGACAGGACACATCATCATCATCGTCACCATCATCATCATCACATCACCATCATCATCATCATAATATCATCATCATCATAATATCATCATCATCATCATCATGTCAAACTCCTTCCAGGTCTGCCAGAAACTGCCCGTGATCTGGGACAGGGACGTAATATCATCATCATCATCATCATGATCACATCATCATCACCATCATCATCATCACCATCATATCATCACCATCATCATCATCATCATATCATCATCATCATCATCCCAAACTCCTGTCAGCTCTGCCAGAAGCTGCCCATGATCTGGGGACATGGGGACAGTGTGGGGACAGGGGGACACAGGGACAGTGTCAGCATCTCAAACTCCTGCCAGAGGCTGCCCGTGATCTGGGGACAGGGATGTGGACATGGGGACATCATCATCATCGTTATCGTTATCGTCATCATCATCATCATCATCATCATCATCATCTCAAACTCCTGCCAGGTCTACCAGAGGCTGCCCATGATCTGGGGAGAGGGACGGGGACATGGGGACACAGGGACAGTGTAAGGGACACAGGGACAGTGCAGGGACAGCCTGAGGACACTCCTGGCCAGGTGCCACCTCAGCCAAGGGTCACAGATCTGCGAGCAGTGCATGCCCCCAGTGCCCCCAGTCTGTCCCAGTCCATCCCAGTCTCCCCCGGGGGTCACAGATCTGCGAGCAGTAGGTGTCCCCAGTGTCCCCATGTCCCCAGTCCATCCCAGTGTCCCCAGGTCCCCAGTCCATCCCAGTCCCTCCCAGTCCATCCCAGTCCCTCCCAGTGTCCCCAGTGTCCCCAGTCCCTCCCAGTCTCACCCGGGGGTCGCAGATCTGCGAGCAGTAGGTGTAGATGGCGCGGGCCCGATCCACCTCCCCCAGCTTGCACTCCATGTCGGCGAAGCGCAGGCACAGCTCCCGCGCCGCGTCGTCACCCAGCACCTGGCGACGGGCACGGTGCCACCTGGGTCACCTGGCACCAGCTGTGCCCCCCTGTACCCACCTGTGCCCCCCTGAACCCATCTGTGTCCGCCTGTACCCACCTGTGCCCCCCTGAACCCATCTGTGTCCGCCTGTACCCAGCTATGCCCACCTGTGCCCCCAGACCCCAGCTGTGGCCAGCTGCACATAGCTGTGCTGTGCCCACCTGTGCCCCCCAGTTCCCACCTCTGCCCACCTGTACCCACCTATGCCAATCTGTGCCCACCTGTGCTCACCTGTACCCACCTGTGCCCACCTGTGCCACCTGTAGCCCCCTGTACACATCTGTGCCCACCTGTGCCCAACTCAATGCCTCTCTGGTGACCCCTCAGTGCCCCCAGCCCCAGGTGCCCCAGGTGTGCCCAGGTGCCCCAGGTGCCCACCTCGATGGCTCTCTGGTAGATGGGGCGCGTGTGGGTGACCCCGAAGAGCTCAGTGCCCCCAGACATGGGCATGGGGACACCGGGGACATGGGCATGGGGACACCACCGGAACAGCGCGATGCCGCGCTCGTAGGCCTGTGGGGACACGGGGACATGGGGACATGGGCATGGGGACACCGGGGACATGGGCATGGGGACACCACCGGAACAGCGCGATGCCGCGCTCGTAGGCCTGTGGGGACACGGGGACATGGGGACATGGGCATGGGGACACCGGGGACATGGGCATGGGGACACCACCGGAACAGCGCGATGCCGCGCTCGTAGGCCTGTGGGGACACGGGGACATGGGGACATGGGCATGGGGACACCGGGGACATGGGCATGGGGACACCACCGGAACAGCGCGATGCCGCGCTCGTAGGCCTGTGGGGACACGGGGACATGGGGACATGGGCATGGGGACACCGGGGACATGGGCATGGGGACACCACCGGAACAGCGCGATGCCGCGCTCGTAGGCCTGTGGGGACACGGGGACATGGGGACATGGGCATGGGGACACCGGGGACATGGGCATGGGGACACCACCGGAACAGCGCGATGCCGCGCTCGTAGGCCTGTGGGGACACGGGGACATGGGGACATGGGCATGGGGACACCGGGGACATGGGCATGGGGACACCACCGGAACAGCGCGATGCCGCGCTCGTAGGCCTGTGGGGACACGGGGACATGGGGACATGGGCATGGGGACACCGGGGACATGGGCATGGGGACACCACCGGAACAGCGCGATGCCGCGCTCGTAGGCCTGTGGGGACACGGGGACATGGGGACATGGGCATGGGGACACCGGGGACATGGGCATGGGGACACCACCGGAACAGCGCGATGCCGCGCTCGTAGGCCTGTGGGGACACGGGGACATGGGGACATGGGCATGGGGACACCGGGGACATGGGCATGGGGACACCACCGGAACAGCGCGATGCCGCGCTCGTAGGCCTGTGGGGACACGGGGACATGGGGACATGGGCATGGGGACACCGGGGACATGGGCATGGGGACACCACCGGAACAGCGCGATGCCGCGCTCGTAGGCCTGTGGGGACACGGGGACATGGGGACATGGGCATGGGGACACCGGGGACATGGGCATGGGGACACCACCGGAACAGCGCGATGCCGCGCTCGTAGGCCTGTGGGGACACGGGGACATGGGGACATGGGCATGGGGACACCGGGGACATGGGCATGGGGACACCACCGGAACAGCGCGATGCCGCGCTCGTAGGCCTGTGGGGACACGGGGACATGGGGACATGGGCATGGGGACACCGGGGACATGGGCATGGGGACACCACCGGAACAGCGCGATGCCGCGCTCGTAGGCCTGTGGGGACACGGGGACATGGGGACATGGGCATGGGGACACCGGGGACATGGGCATGGGGACACCACCGGAACAGCGCGATGCCGCGCTCGTAGGCCTGTGGGGACACGGGGACATGGGGACATGGGCATGGGGACACCGGGGACATGGGCATGGGGACACCACCGGAACAGCGCGATGCCGCGCTCGTAGGCCTGTGGGGACACGGGGACATGGGGACATGGGCATGGGGACACCGGGGACATGGGCATGGGGACACCACCGGAACAGCGCGATGCCGCGCTCGTAGGCCTGTGGGGACACGGGGACATGGGGACATGGGCATGGGGACACCGGGGACATGGGCATGGGGACACCACCGGAACAGCGCGATGCCGCGCTCGTAGGCCTGTGGGGACACGGGGACATGGGGACATGGGCATGGGGACACCGGGGACATGGGCATGGGGACACCACCGGAACAGCGCGATGCCGCGCTCGTAGGCCTGTGGGGACACGGGGACATGGGGACATGGGCATGGGGACACCGGGGACATGGGCATGGGGACACCACCGGAACAGCGCGATGCCGCGCTCGTAGGCCTGTGGGGACACGGGGACATGGGGACATGGGCATGGGGACACCGGGGACATGGGCATGGGGACACCACCGGAACAGCGCGATGCCGCGCTCGTAGGCCTGTGGGGACACGGGGACATGGGGACATGGGCATGGGGACACCGGGGACATGGGCATGGGGACACCACCGGAACAGCGCGATGCCGCGCTCGTAGGCCTGTGGGGACACGGGGACATGGGGACATGGGCATGGGGACACCGGGGACATGGGCATGGGGACACCACCGGAACAGCGCGATGCCGCGCTCGTAGGCCTGTGGGGACACGGGGACATGGGGACATGGGCATGGGGACACCGGGGACATGGGCATGGGGACACCACCGGAACAGCGCGATGCCGCGCTCGTAGGCCTGTGGGGACACGGGGACATGGGGACATGGGCATGGGGACACCGGGGACATGGGCATGGGGACACCACCGGAACAGCGCGATGCCGCGCTCGTAGGCCTGTGGGGACACGGGGACATGGGGACATGGGCATGGGGACACCGGGGACATGGGCATGGGGACACCACCGGAACAGCGCGATGCCGCGCTCGTAGGCCTGTGGGGACACGGGGACATGGGGACATGGGCATGGGGACACCGGGGACATGGGCATGGGGACACCACCGGAACAGCGCGATGCCGCGCTCGTAGACCTGCGGGGACATGGGGACACTGGGGACATGGGCATGGGGACACCGGGGACATGGGCATGGGGACACCACCGGAACAGCGCGATGCCGCACTCGTAGGCCTGCGGGGACACGGGGACATTGGGGACACGGGGACACCACCGGAACAGCGCGATGCGTGTTCGTACACCTGCAGGGACACTGGGGACAATGGGGACATGGGCATGGTGACACCACTGGAACAGCGCGATGCGTGCTTGTACGCCTGAGGGGACACGGGGACATCAGCATGGGAACACTGGGGACATTGAGGACACAGAGTCACCACTGCAGCAGTGAGATGCCACGCTCGTAGGCCTGCAGGGACACTGGGGACACTGCGGACATTGGCACGGGGACATTGGCATGGCAGTGTCACCACTGGGACAGTGCGATGCCACGCCTGGCATCCCCTGCAGGGACTGGGGACACCCCAGGAGGGAGATGGGGACACCAGTGACCCTGTGGCTCAGAAGAGTGTCCCCAGGTGTCCCAGGTATCCCTGCAGTGTCCCCAGTGTCACCTCAAAGCTGTCCCCAGCTGTGCCAGGTGTCCCTGCAGTGTCCTGGTGTCACCTTGAAACTGCTGCCAGCTCCCCCAGTGTCCCCAGTGTCACCTTGAAGCTGTCCCAGCTCCCCCTGCAGTGTCCCCAGTCCCCAGGTGTCCCAGGTATCCCTGCAGTGTCCCCAGTGTCACCTCAAAGCTGTCCCCAGCTGTGCCAGGTGTCCCTGCAGTGTCCTGGTGTCACCTTGAAACTGCTGCCAGCTCCCCCAGTGTCCCCAGTGTCACCTTGAAGCTGTCCCAGCTCCCCCTGCAGTGTCCCCAGTGTCCCCAGCTCCCCCTGCAGTGTCCCTGCAGTGTCCCCATGGGAAAAGGGAAAAAAAGAGGGAAAAATGAGGAGAAATGGGGGGAAAGAGGGAAAAATGGGGAAAAAAGAAGGGGAAAAGAGGAAAAAGGGGGGGGAAGGGAGAAAATGGGGAAAGAAGGGGAAAAATGGGGGAAAACCAGGGGAAAAGGAGGAAAAGGGGGGGAAAAGAGGGAGAAATGGGGGAAAAAAACAGGGAAAAGAGGGAAAAATGGGGGGAAAAACAGAGAGAAATGGGGGGAAAGAGGGAAAAATGGGGGGAAAAAAGAGGGGAAAAAGAGGAAAAAGGGGGAAAAACCAGGGTAAAGGAGGAAAAGGGGGGGGAAAAGGGGGAGAAATGGGGGAAAATGGAAGAAAAGGGGAAAAAAGGAGGGAAGGGGATAAAAATGGGAAAAAAGAGGAAAAAAAAGGGGGCAAAAATGGGGAACAAAGAGGGGGACAGGGAGAAAATGGGAAAAGGGGAAACAAGGAAAAGGGGGGGCTCCCCATTTTTGGGTTGCCCCCGTTTTTGGGATCCCCAGTTTCTGGGGTTCTCTATTTTTGGGGTGCCCATTTCTGGCATTCCCTGTTTTTGGGGGTCCCCGTTTCTGGGTTTCCCTATTTTTAGGTTCCCCCCGTTTTTGGGGTGCCCATTTTTGAGGTGCCCCATTTTTGGGATCCCTCAGTTTCGAGGTCCCCATTTTCGGGGTCCCCCTGTTTTTGGGGTGCCCATTTTTGAGGTGCCCCATTTTTGGGGTTCCCTGTTTCCGGGGTTCCCGTTTTTGGGGTTCCCCGTTTTTGGGGTTCCCCATTTTCGGGTTTCCCCATTTTTGGGTTGCACCCGTTTTTGGGATCCCCTCTTTTTGGGTTTCCCCATTTTCGGGGTTTACAGGGACACGGGGACACGGACAGGGGCAGAGGGACAGGGACAGGGACACAGACAGGGACATGACATGGGGACACCAGGGGGATAGAGAGGGACATGGGGACACCAGGGGGACAAGGAGACAGGGATGAGGACATGGGGACAGGGATGGGGACAGTGACAAAGGGGACAAGGACACAGGGACAGGGAAACAGGGACAGGGACACAGGGGACATGATGGACACGGGGACAGGGACAGGGGGACATGGACAGGGGGGCACGGACAGGGACACAGGGACAGGGACACAGGGGACATGAGGGACAGAAAGGGACATGGGGACACCAGGGGGATAAGGACATGGGGACAGGGACATGGACATGGACAGAGGAACAGGGACACAGGGACAGGGATGGGGACAGGGACATGGGGATATGGGGACAGGGGGGCACAGGGACAAAGGGGACATGGGGACAGGGACACGGGGACAGGGGGACATAGGGATATAGGAACATGAGGACAGGAGGACATGGGGACAGAGACAGGGAACGTGGGGACACAGGACATGGGCACAGGGGGACACCAGGGAGACATAGGGACAGAGGGGACAGGGCAGAGGAGCAGGGACAGGGACATGGGGACAATGATGGGGACAGGGTTAGAGGGGACATCGGGAACAGAGGGGACATGGACAGGGACATGGGGACGTGGGGAACAGAGATATGGGGACAGGGGACACGGATGGGGACAGAGGGGACAAGGATACAGAGAGGGACAGAGGGGACAGGGGAGAAAGACAGGGACAGAGGGGACAGGGAACAATGGAGACAGGGACAGGGGGACAGTGACAGGGGACAGGGATGGGGACAGAGGAGACAGGGACAGGGACAAGGACAGCAGGGTCACAGCCATGCCCATCCCCCCCCCCGGACACGGGGACACAGCGGTGTCCGTGGGGGGATGGGCACACACGTCCCCACACCCACCCCACACCCGGCAGTGTCCCCAGGTGTCCCCTGAGGCCACCCAGGTGTCCCCCACACCCAGCCCAGTGTCCCCAGGTGTCCCCTGAGGCCACCCAGGTGTCCCCCATACCCAGCCCAGCGTGCCCCATGCCCATTCCAATGTCCCCAGCTGTCCCCCATGTCCACCCCAAGGGAGAAAATGGGGAAAGAAGGGGAAATATGGGGGAAAAAACGGGAAAAGGAGGAAAAGGGGGGGAAAGAGGGAGAAATGGGGGGAAAAACGGGAAAAAGAGGAAAAAGGCAGGGAAAAAGAGGGAAGAGAGCAAATGGGGAAAGAAGAGGAAAAAAGGGGGGAAAAGGGGGAAAAACCAGGGGAAAAGAAGGAAAAGGGAGGGAAAAGAGGGAAAAATGGGTTCCCCATTTTCGGGGTTCCCCATTTTTGGGGTTCCCCGTTTTTGGGGTGCCTGTTCCTGGGGTTCCCCATTTTTGGGGTGCCCGTTCCCGGGTTTCCCCGTTTTTGGGATCCCCTGTTTTTGGTTTTCCCCGTTCCCGGGGTGCCCGTTCCCGGGTTGCCCGTTTTGGGTTTCCCCACCCGCAGCACGCTGAGCGCCTCCTGGTGGCGCTGGTGGCGCAGCTCCAGCTCCCCGAACTCGCACCAGACGGCGGCGAGGTCCTCGACACGGCGGAACCGCACCCGGGTGGCACGGGACAGGATGGACCTGGCCTGGGGACAGGGACGTTGGGGACATTGGGGACAGGGACAGGATGGACCTGGCCTGGGGACAGGGACAGGCATACTGGGGACACTGGGGACAGGGACAGGAACTGCACCCGGGTGGCACGGGACGGGATGGACCTGGCCTGGGGACACCACTGGGGACACCACTGGGGACACTGGGGGCAGGGACAGGATGGACCTGGCCTGGGGACAGGGACACTGGGGACATCATTGGGGACAGGATGGACCTGGCCTGGGGACAGCATTGGGGACACTAGGGACACTGGGGACACTGGGGACAGGGACAGGATGGACCTGGCTTGGGGACATTGGGGACACTGGGGACATTGGTGGGACAGGAGGGGGGATGTCTTGGGGGCACAGACAGGTCTGGGGGTCCCAGGTGGCTTTGGGGGTGCCACTCAGGGGTCCCAGGCGGGTTTTGGGGTGTCCCCCGGGGTTTGGGTGTCCCCCAGGTTTGGGGTGAACCTCAGGGTTTGGGGTGTCCCCAAGTTTTGGGGTGTCCCCAGGTTTGGGGGTCCCTCAGGGTTTGGGGTGTCCCTCAGGGATCGGGGGTCCCAGGTGGGTTCTGGGGTATCCCTCGGGGTTTTGGGGTGTCCCTCGGGGTTCAGGGGTCCCAGGTGGGTTTCGGGGTGTCCCCGGGTTTTAGGGGGTCCCCATGTGGGTTTTGGGGGGTCCTCAGGTTTTGGGGTGTCCCTCAGGGATCGGGGGTCCCAGGTGGGTTCTGGGGTGTCCCTCGGGGTTTTGGGGTGTCCCTCAGGGTTCAGGGTTCCCAGGCGGGTTTGGGGTTTCCCCAGGCAGGTTTTGGGGTGACCCCAGGCAGGTTTTGGGGGTCCCCAGGTTCTGGGGTGTTCCCAGGTGGGTTTTGGGGGGTCCCCGGGTTTTGGGGGGTCCTCAGGTTTTGGGGTGTCCCCAGGTGGGTTTCGGGGTGTCCCCGGGTTCTGGGGTGTCCCCAGGGGGGTCTGGGGGTCCCTCACGTCGTCCAGCTGCCCGTTGTCCTCGTAGAAGCGCGCGAAGGCCACCCAGAGCTCGTGGGGGCGGCCGGTGGCGCGCTGGGGATCCACCGTGCGCACGGCCTCGGTGAACGTCTGGATGATCTGGGACAGCGGGGACAGAGGGGACAGAGGGGACATTAGGGACAGCAGGGACAGAGGGGACATTGGGGACATTGGAGATAGCAGGGGACATTAGGGACAGCGAGGACATCAGGGACAGCGGGGACAGCAGGGACAGTGGACACAGCCAGGGGAGATTGGGGACAGCAGGGGAGAGTGGGAGATGTTGGGGACAGCCAAGGGACAGTGGGGACAGCAGGGGACACCAGGGACATTGGGGACAGTCAAAGGATGTTGGGACATTGGGGACAGTCAGGGGACATTGGGGACAGCCAGGAGACATTGGGGACAGCAGGGGATGTTGGGGACATGAAGGGACAGTCGGGACATTGGGGGCATGGGTACATTGGAGAGATTGGAAACACAGGGACACCGAGGACATTGGGGACACAGAGGACAGGGGGGACACAGGGACAGCACAGTCACTGCAATGCCACCACCCAACCCCCCAAACCACCCACCCATAACCCCCAGCGTCCCCTCCACCCAGCCAGCCACGTCCCCCGGTGTTCCCCGGTGTCCCCCGGTGTCCCCTCACCTTGTCGGGCTGTCCCTGGTGCAGGGCCACCCTCTTGTGCCACTCGTGCACGTTGTGCGGGTTCTGGCGCAGCAGCACGCTGTTCAGCAGCAGCGGCCGCCGCGCCATCAGCCGCTCGAAGCGCGCCAGGCGCAGCTCCAGCTCCACCTCCTCTGCGGGGACAGGGGGAACAGAGGGGACACAGGGTCACAGGGTCAGGGGACATGGGGACACACAGTGACAGGGCTGACAGGGTCACAAGGACACCCCAGGGACAGCGCAGACACAGCGCCATCAGCCGCTCGAAGCGCGCCAGGCGCAGCTCCAGCTCCACCTCCTCTGCGGGGACAGGGGACAGAGGGGACACAGGGTCACAGGGGTGACACAGGGTGACACGGGATCAGGGGACACAGGGTCACAGGGTCAGGGGACATGGGGACACACAGTGACAGGGCTGACAGGGTCACAAGGACACCCCAGGGACAGCGCAGACACAGCGCCATCAGCCGCTCGAAGCGCGCCAGGCGCAGCTCCAGCTCCACCTCCTCTGCGGGGACAGGGGACAGAGGGGACACAGGGTCACAGGGGTGACACAGGGTGACACAGGGTGACACAGGGTCAGGGGACATGGGCACACAGGGTGACACAGGGTGACACAGGGTGACACAGGGTCATACAGGGTGACACAGGGTCAGGGGACATGGGCACACAGGGTGACACAGGGTGACACAGGGTGACACAGGGTCATACAGGGTGACACAGGGTCAGGGGACATGGGGACACAGGGTCACACAAGGTGACACAGGGTCATACAGGGTGACACAGGGTCAGGGGACATGGGCACACAGGGTGACACAGGGTGACACAGGGTCATACAGGGTGACACAGGGTGACACAGGGTCACAGAGGGTGACACAGGGT